GCGGCTGCGAGAACGACCTACATTTTTCTCCACCGCCTTCGTAGCGAGACAATTTCGTGCTTATATCGCATGCACGCGTCTTACGAGAACTCTGCGATAGCATTCTTTATTTTGTGAGGAAAAGGCGGTTGAAACTTTCTACATGTTTGTGCCACACACGCCCTAATTTATGATCACGATATAAAGAAGATTTTCAATTCGTATATCTCTGATCGATGTACGAAGCGATGCGTCCGTATAATACGTGAACAACATCGCCTAGGAAATTTTTACATACGTAAATGGCGTTTCGGGAAGAGAGAGAGTGAGTGAGATTGAAAAGGCAGACAGCCGTAAAATAGCGTATTACGCTTGAGCGTGTTCACGAATTTAACGTCAAAATGAGAAGAAAAAAAGAAAAGGGAAAGAAAATGCACGCAGCTCGTCCTTTTTTCCATCGAATTCGAATAAAATCAAAGGACTGCTTGGATTAACGTGCACCGATATCTTTTTCACTCTCGATAAAAATTAAAATTACGGATATTATTTAATTGATTATCTACAGATATGTAGTCACAGACATCGCTATTCATAGACGCGATCGGTTTATATGTCATTGAAATAAACCCGATACGCTAAGTGGCATATGCAGATGATATAATCGGAACCCTCCTAAATCCTCGCGTTCAAAAATTTAACAGTCGAAAAAAAAGGAAGTCATGCAGGATATGAATATGTATACCATAGTTTAATTTAATTGATTTAGCTTAAGCCGAATCTGTGCATATGCAACGTACGAGCGAGGGGTAACTTGAAGCGTCTAATATCACTCGAAGGATATTGTAGGCCACAGCAATAGCTGTAGCAACCCACCCCATAACGTAGCATATAAAGGCCCAGGCAGGCACTGGCAAGTGTCCGAGTTTCCTCTTCGCGCGCCCTTTAAAATACTCACACATTATATATTCGATCGTAGCTACTGGTCGCCGCTCGCATACGTGTGCGCGCCTAAGGCCTAGCATAAGACAGCATCATATATATATCATCCAATGTATTATGAGTGTCGAATTCGATACTCCGTGAGAATATTGCATACATATGCTTAAGAATAAAGATCTCAATCGAGCTATACGAGCGTATACGCATGCGATGGGAAGAGTTGGCGTGAAAGAGAGTGAGAGAGAGAGAGAGAGAGAGAGGCGCGCACATGCATAGAGAAAGAGAAAAGAGCGAAGATTAAAGACGAAGAAACGCAATAGCGTCACGGGGATAAGAAAATTGTACAATAAGGCCGCGCGTATAAACATGCTTTGTTTTTTCTCACTTAATAGATGATATTTCTCTCTCTCTGTCTCTTATATTCAAAGGCGGCAACAGCAGCTCGCAGCTTCATAGACTTTGCGGCGCATCTCTCACTCTACACACACATGATGCGATAACGAACGTCACGCTTATAAAATATATGGAGCAGAGCGCGTCCGTTCAAGTCGACGTCGGCGATGATCGCTATCGTAGTATAAATAAAACTATGACTTTTACCTTTTACTTTTTATTTCTTTACTTTTTTTTATCTAGCTGACTATTAGAAAAAAAGATGAAAAAAAAGAAAAGAAAAAACAGGAAAAAACAAAGATGTGTACTATAAATCGGAGATAAGGGAAAATTCACCGTTCATATGCGTGTATAGTGCGTGTGTTTGCATACATGCTTTTATATACGGGTCCGTATATTATAATAGCTCGCACACACCGGCGATCGCTTGCGCTTGATCGAGCTTCGATTATATTGCCTCGCAAGTCTCAAGGGAGAGAGACGAGCCGCGCGTATAGCGATCGTATCGCCTGGAATACATTACGAGCCCGCGCGCGCGTGTGATATACAACTTTTGAAATTACTTACGTAAACTTTATCTCACTCTCTTATATTATTATTGACTTTTTGTCTTACTTTAAGTTTGAAAAAAAAAAGAAAAACAACAGACGTGAAAGAAGGAAAAAAGAAGAAGATATGGTCGCTCTATGTGACATCGCGGTTAATATAATATTGTCGATCTATTATGTACGTGTACACTGACAAAATCGCTCGGAGCGCCGAGACATTGATTTTCGATCGTGCGATTCGATCGCGTGTGCCGGTGGATGTATCGGTATGTGTACGAACGCAAGGTATCGAGCAATTGCTTACATTATTTAATCAATGGCTAAACAAATTCTTGTGCAAGCCTCGCGCACGCACATAAACGAACACACGCGAACATTTTTCTGTATAGCCCGCGTAGACGACGACGCGCGATATGCGTTTCATAATGCCAACTTTAATCAGCGGCACACGGACAATACGTGCGCGTATTTATACATTGATTAAAATACCGATCACTCGGTACAGTCGCGAGCAGGGCATATTTATTTTTAACAGAGGGAGATGCTCTCACAGCGATCGTCGTAAACGTATAACGCGTGCGACACGACCCTGGTGCGGTAACTTCAACCGTTTTGCTCTGAAAGTTACGAGAAACGAGGTGCATTTTGGAAAAACGACAAGGGAAGAAAAAAGTTAACACGCAAATTATACGAGAAAGGCTCACGAAAATTGCTGTATCTCAGTAAAAAATCAACTCTTCAGAGTTTTAAAAAGTTGCAATGGAAGCCACGACAAAGCAATTTTCTTGTATAGATCCAACAATGGTCGATAAAATTCTTTCTAGAATGTGTTTAAATTTTTTTGAGGAATTACTTAAATTTTGACCATTGCGGCATTTTAATGACTGTGTACTTTAAACCGCCTAATTTTACATAAATTCGTCATATAAGTCTGATTACTTAGAGTGATAATACTTTGATAGATCACGGGATGGATGAACATTATAATTGAAAGAAAGTAGATCAATGGACCGAAACGCATCTGTTTTCTAATTTGATTTCCCGGCATACTTGATGTGACATATTTTAAACTTTTATTCTATTAATCATATACGAGCTATACTGTACCTAAAATCTTAAAGGCAAGCTTATTTTCGAGTCATGTTTTACCGACAACTATTATTATTTCAGATGCACCTTTGTATTCTTTTAATTTTTAACAATGCACTCCACAAAACTAAAAAATGCAGTAATGAAAATGAAATAAAACTCAATTTATTTTTTGAAAAAATTCGAAAAAGTCATTTTTAGAGGTGCCGATGGATTTTTAAATGTTGTTTCGACATGAAAAAGTCGAAGCTGACATTAATTAGCGGCATAGGTTGTATCAGCTATTTTACAAGGGATTAATCGGTTTCGTGAATGCACTCTTTTTGTTTAATGCTCCCTTAAGCTTCCAAAAATTTCGATTAGAACTTAACTAAAAATTTCTGAGCATATTTTAACTTCACTCAAGGATGTTATGGCTATTACTTTAATACTAGAATCTGCTCTTAAATAATAATATTGTTTAAAACGCTTCCTAAATACGCAATGCTAATAATAATATTTATTAATAATATACATTTAGTGATCAAAATCGAATAAAAATTGAATTTAATTAAAACTTAAAAAACTTTAGTACATTTTTCAAAAACTGCAATATGGTTGTGAATAATTTTATATTTAGTACAAACAATATTTTTTTCTCATTTTTATCCAAGTATATTATCAGTAAATATCAATATTATTATCATTGCATACTCCAGTGGCATTATAAACAATATTATTTAAAAACTGATTCTACTGTATAGAGAACTACCATAACAGTCTTAAATTTTCTGATCACGGAGGCAATTTTTTTCTGATGTTAAAATGCTCATAAATAAATTTAATTACATCGACGGATAATACATTTTTTGCTATAAAAAGTTAATAACTTTAATTCAGAACAACAAATAGAGGCTAGTAAAAATGAATTTCTCTAGATGCAGACAAACATCATGACGCTTCAAAGATTTCGGTGATTAATTAATTCTTTTTCCTGGTAGAACATACTGCAGGATTCTTTATATTCGAAGACAAAAAGGGAAATGATCGGTCAATTTTTGACATCTTGAGTCTTATAAGATGGTATGTATGATTTGGTCGGAGTACATAATAAGTAGGCGGCATTGTCTCCGTAATTCGATACGCTGCATTCGAGAAAAATTCGGATTTCTATTGGTATGATGATTGGGTTAAAATAACAAGATGTATCTTACATAGACATGTGAGATAGTTTTAGATATAAAGCGGGAAAGTATTGTTTCAATCATAAACTTGCTCCAACGCGTCCGTAACTCCTGTCTTTACTTGATTGTAATGCTAATTTTTCCCCCTCAAATTAACGCAGCTGTTTTATTATATAATAGTAGTATAGTAAACAAAATTTATTTCTTATAGCAGATGAGATCTAGAATCAATTGACATCAAGTGAAACTATTTATACGTGGTAAGTAGAATACAGAAAGTTATGGGCGAAATAAGACTCTATTCGTTGTTTACTCAATGTTTAAAGGAAATCGTTCATTTAGAGTCGAGTGCGGTCAGCGGGAAATGCTGCGCCCACAAACAAATGAAGAAATTGACTTTTCTCTCCGTGCCGCGTAAAAAGACCATTAAAGTTTAAACATTATTACGGTTATGCTTGGAAAATGTCAATATAATGAAAATCACCGGACAAAAACAAAGTCTATTTTACTATCCGTCCTAAGCGCACACCGTGTAATATAAGAATACTTGACGTGGAATGCGGAGCAAGGCGATTGTATGGGGAAAACCCCACATCTGCGCGGCTGCACTCATGATCCCGCGTGCAGGTATTTAATTCGGCTCTGATTAAACGAAAAATCCAAAAAAATAACACACTGGTATCACGTGTACTCCACCGTCTCATATGCGGCGTTCTTTAATTCATGACAATTAGGCAATGATTGCCATACGTCGCTCTCGAGTTATGTATATGCACGTCTCGCATAATGCGCGGAGGCAAATGAAACGAAGAAAGAGAGAAAAAAAATGAAGGAGAAAGGGAGGAAAGAAAAGTAGATGCAGGTAGAATCGGATAGTAGAGCATTTTACCTTATTACAAGTCAGCCAAAGGATAATCGAGTTCTCTTGTCGCAGCGGACCGCCCAGACCACTGCCTCCGGCAATTCTTTGTTGACGCAGGATTTCCGAGTGCGTAATGCCGTGTTGCTCGAAAATCTCTAAAGATCTGTAATGCAGAAAAGCAAAGAGATGGTTTTTTACATCTTTTTCGCTGACAATTTTATGCCTAAATATAAACATTATTTGTATGCAGGGCAAACGCAGAGCGCATAATAAATAAATATTGCCAATGAAAATGGTGAAGAAATTCGGATTTTTCCGATTGTCATTCGGCGAGATGAGAACCCATGTGCTCCACCTATTTCGGGGCGGGGTTTTCCTGGAGGATGGAGGGGTGAGAAAAAAAAAGTAGGAACTTTTGGTATTTTTATCGAAACACTATGTTGCCCGTTATGGCCATAGATGTCGTTACCAGTTTCAAATTTCAAGAGAAAATTTGATAACTTTTTGGTTCATTAGAAGCTGAGGTACGGCCTATTTCATTAATATGACAAGCCATAGATGGCGCACTCAGTAACGAATTTGGATTTTCAAAAGCATTAAAATGAAACGTTCGGAAAAAACTTTACTTCGAAATAAAAATAGTTTATACGTTTTTTATCTGCCCCTCGTACTTTTGTAATTAAAAGCCAAATCTTAGCGATGCAGATCACAGGTTTAGGTTGCTCAGGAAAAAACACATGAAAATTATAATTTTTCCCTTTTCATTTTGAAGGAAAGATTTAAGGGTCCTCTATACACACTCGGTCGGTAACTATATTCGCTTATTTTGTACCCATTTTTTTCATTTAGTATACAACCTATGGTCTTGAAATTTTTTGGGAGTGGTCATGAAACTAATACAAATGTGCCTATGAAGCTATTTTTTCAGATAATTGAAAAAAAAATTTTTTACAATATTTATATGAAAAAATAGCTTCATAGGCACATTTGTATTAGTTTCATCACCACTCCCAAAAAATTTCAAGACCATAGGTTGTATACTAAATGAAAAAAATGGGTACAAAATAAGCGAATATAGTTACCGACCGAGTGTGTATAGAGGACCCTTAAGGCTTCTCTATACACACTGTAGTCGGTAACTAATTCGTGTATTTTGTACTAATTTTTTTCATTTTATATTCAACCATTAGTCTTGAAATTTTGTGGGGGTGATCAGGAAACTAATACAAATGTGCCTATGAAGATATTTTTTCAGATAATTGAAAAAAAATTTTTTTACAATATTTATATGAAAAAATAGCTTCATAGGCACATTTGTATTAGTTTCATGATCACTCCCAAAAGATTTCAAGACCATAGGTTGTATACTAAATGAAAAAAAATGGGTACAAAATACGCGAATATAGTTACCGACCGAGTGTGTATAGAGGACCCTTAAAGTCCTTTCCAGCGAGTCAAAAATTGCTCGTCTAATTAGTTAAGGCCGGTCGCGAGCCGCACTGGGGCACCTATCCTGATTCTTTCTTTGTTTACATTTTGCACAGAGATATCCGCAATAAACGAAAGCGTTATAAGTTTATGTGTGCTTGTGTATGGTGCGTGTGGCAGTCTCCTTGTGTCAATGCAATCGACGACATAATTTTTGACGTGAGTAATGTAAACAAGCTTGATAAATAAGAGCCGAGAGTCGAGACATTATACCGCGGCAGTACTCGAGGTTAAAGAGAAGCAGCGAAATTTGCGCGCGACCAGAATAATCTGCCTCGGTGCAGAATGTCGAATTTTAAAATTTATTTGCGTTATCTTCTCTCGTGCGTCGAGCTAAAAATTGTAAAGCTGAATTCCGGCGAGTATATAAGCTATGTGTACATAACGATGATCGTATAGGTTGGACAGACGACCGAGTTACCGTTGCCGCTACTGCCCGTATACACACAAAACAAACAAACTTCGATAACAACAAATTCGCGAGCTCTATATAAATAGGATTGTATATGAGTAACTAAACGGACACACATGTATACACGGCGTATACCTATATATGCAATCTAGGGAGTTAACAGTACTTAGTGCCCGTACATAGGCGTTTATGTAATCCTGGAATTTCTCATGAAAATGCATAAGTACGCAGGAATCGTCAAATTCTTACAATAGTTTCCTTGCAGCAGTGGTAAAGCAGCACGTATACGGCCTCTATGTACGCGTATTCATGGCGAATAATTAGTCAAAATGAAAACAAACACACAGAAGCGCAAAAGAATGCCGCCGCCGCCACCACCGACGCGCAGACGGTCAGAGGCCTGCACCGGTGCTGTATGCAGGCCAATTTCACGGCAAATCGAGCGCGCCTACATATATATATACATATAGATGCAGCAGCGCGGCCTGCAGGACTCGGCCAAGTGGAGATCCTTATCGGCCGCGCGCCCGCTTGCCTACTCTCTCTCTGTACGTGTGTATGCGTTTAAATGCACACACACCATCATTATCATCATCAAATGCCTACTTGCTGCTGCTGCTGCTGCTGCTGCTCGCTCGCATGTTTATATAATCACATTATAGCGGCGCATAGTATGGAAGGGCTTTTTCGCTTCGACGTATCTCTCTATATAGGTGGCCGGCAGCGAGTAGTCGCCGACGATGGAAAAAAGTGATTTTACCCGCGTGGACTGCGCGAGGAAGAAGCTTTCGACAAGTTGTGCGCGCACGCGCGCGCCATCGAATTGGTGTAAACAAGTTTTTGCTTTACATATTTCTTGAAATGTCCCTCGGAAGAAATAAATTAAATGCACGCGGTATCGTAGTCTCGACGGTGAAAAGCACATTGTCTTGTGCGATACTAATTGCGCCATATCGTCCATTATTGTTTTGCTATTTTACACACAATTCAAAAGCCGATCGTATTAAAACGAAATCAAAGTTCCCCGAGAGAGATTATGATAATTCAGCGAATCCTGAAGCTCCTGCTGTCGCATCGGATCGTTGGCACGCGGTGATATCGCGCGCGATCCGAGACACGCTACGGACCCTTCGTCATTAATGCGTGCGGCGGCGATGGGACGACGACTTGGGCGCGCGCCTGTGCTGCTGCACACGCAGGATCGCTAGCTCAGCTCCTCTATACTGGGTATAGTAGGTAAATTAATACGAGTATATATGTATATAATATGTATCGCGATAGCAATTAGTGACGCGTGGATGATTCAAGCCCACAGCCCAGCGTATATAGTATATATTATACGTCATTTATTTTATCCATGGTGCATAAGAGCCACCAAGAATTTGCGCGCACGCCGCCGAACAGCCAAGTGCGATGTGCCAAGTGCGTGCCTACACACATAGACACATACATCGCATAGAGCATACATAACAGTTAAAATAATTCACTTTTTACGCGGCCCCGTGCCACCCCTGCCCCGTCTTGTGTGTATGTGTGTGACTCCCTGCGCGCGCTAGCAGCGGCTCAACGGCCGGCGCGCATTAACTTACTTGCTTGCGCGCTTAATTTATTCATTCGTAAAGAGGGTTATACGCGTAAATAATATTATTACACAGTCACTGCACTGTGTATACATATGTATGCCATATAACGCGCCATATATACACGCACACACACACGTATACATCTACGTAGCTTAATAATAAAGGGGGAGATGGTGTCTACGCGATAACTGCGCGCCGCCGCCGCCGCCGCTGCCACAGCCGCGTATTATATGCGAAACGATGCATTACGCAAAATTAATTTTTGAGGACTTTATAGTAGCACTTTGTATACTGCTAACAACGGGCGTGCGAGGCGCGAGTAATCAAGATTTGCCCGCCGCAACTTTGTTATACATCGTCACCTAAGGACTGGGATTTTCGAATTAGAAAGTAGACTCGTCGTCGTGCAGGCAAAGGAAATAATAAAATTCGCAATACACCGAGAGAAATGAATTGGAAGCAAGAAGAGAGAGAGATAAAAAAAGTCGGCAGAATTTAGAGTCATTGCCGAAGGGCAAAATCATAAATGCCGTATACGAGCGCGTTTAATACAGAGATCTCGTGCGCGCTCGCGTGCACTGCACTTGTGTGTTTATAATATAATACGATATACATCGCCGCTCGCGATCGTTGCATGTGCGCAGCGCCGCGCACAGCCCGCCATAATTTCCGATCCGATTTTTTGTGGAATCGGTCTTTTAAACCGCCTCGCTCGTGCTCACACTCTCTCTCTCTCTCTCTCCCTCTCTGCCTCGTGCGCGCGAAATTTCTTTCTAATAAGCGTCTGCGTGTATTAAATGCGTGTGTGCATATGTGTGTACGCGCATGTGCATGAGCAGCAGCGCGAACACGTTTGCAATTTTCATTCATGCGCGCAAAGCTGCTGTTGCTGCGTGCACCGGTGTACAATATACCATCTTACGTACCATAGCGGCTCCTTACGACCGAGTAAGAAAAGAGAGAGAGAGAGAGAGAGAGAGAGAGACTTAGAGATCGTAAAACTCGTTGCTCCGCACTCCCACACTGTACACACTCATGAAAACTCTCTTTCCTGCCCCCCTCACTCTCTTTTGTGCGAGTAGTATGCAATGGTACTGCACTTCCCTAATTCATCTCTCGCTGCAGCAGCAACAGCAGCCATGCGCGCGAATGTGTATATCTCCCACCGATCGAAGCCACGTGCATTATGCGCTGCCGCTGTTGCGGTGGAAGAAAAACCCGAAGAGGCCCCGACCACGCAGTCTGGGTGCGGACCTGCTCTCGCAGCCGCTTCGTAGCCACCGGAAGTTGTAGATTAATAGGACGCGGGGGAAAGGACCCGAACGCGCGAGGACGACGACGACTCGAGACTCGAGTGCATGCAGCCGATGAAAGCGCCTACGCATTACAGACTTGCTCGTCGGCCCTCTTTCTCTCTCTCTCTCTCGTCGCCCACTCGTTAGGTATGTACCGTACTCCTGCGGCTGTACTCGCGTGTACATGCAGTGCATATAGTGTAAATGTGCATACGTAAGAGCCACGCTGCAAGTTGGTGTGCGTGTTGCCGTTTGCGCAGGATATGCGCGAGAGGTACTATACATCTCTCGGCTAAGGATACTGCGGCTCTAATACAGCCTGTATATGCAGCAGCAGCAGCAGCAGCGACGCAACGAGAACACGAGAGCGCGAGTTGGGAGGACT